TTTTTTTCAAAAAATGTATTGCTGGTATTTTTTTTCTATAAAAATCTATTTTTATACTTTCATAGTGTTTTGACACCACTTTGGGAGTTAACCATTTGCTCATAGCTCGGATCCTAACAGCTGCTACATCGCCGCGTCAGGGTGAATCTTGGAACAGCAGCAATTAAGAGGTAGCTCCATGCAGCTCAAAACCTCCTGATCATAAACCTTGCTGCCAGATGTAGTGTATTGTCATACCCAGGATGTGCCTAAGTTGTCAACGTTACATTTCATAATGACAGGAATATTGTGTGTGTGTGTGTGCGCCCGAGAATGAAATTATCAACCTGAAAAGATTTATGACATTCAATGATCTGTCAGTTTTTGAGCACCAAATATTCAAATTGAATACTAGCAAGGATGCCTGGCATTGACCAAGGAAAAATAACTTAAAATATAACAACACTGGAAAGAATGTTACTTAATATATTTCTTCTTACACCACAAAAGAAATGAAAAATTATTTACACATAAAAAAAGATTTTGCTGAAAAAATATTCTGATGCCCAAAGCAGTTGCTTATTTTGACAAGACTTCTGTGTATACAACATTGGTGTTTCTTCCTTGGGGATCTAACCTAAAACAAGCAAAAGCATGGAGAAATCGAGGCCAGTAACTGAAAGAGTTTGTGACTTGTTGATCATCATAGTAAAGCTTTGTCTCACAAAAAACTGAAATCATATAAATTCAAGCCATTTAAGATAGTTGCTCCTGTAACATATGGGAGAAACTTCTTGAGAATTCCATTGCACAACTATTACATTTTAAATAGCTGAAACAATTAAATTTATTCCACAAGATTTTAAACTTGTTCTTTCATTTGGCTAAAACAATGATCTTTAAGATCAGTACCAAATATCTTTTCATTCTTTTATCTGTCCAAATTACCTACACATAACAATTTACATCTCAGAATGTAATTGCTGGACTGCAATACAAATGTCACAAGTAATTCTACCTCTAATTACCTCAGGTCAGATTTTACCTTATCCTTCTTACCATTTGTGAAGCCTAGAAACAAAACATTTTTGTATTTCATAGTAAATTCAATATCTTAGTCCATTTTGATAGAAATGGCATGCTATGTTCTTCAATGGCATCTGGTGACATCTGAGGTCAACTTCACACAGCCTCTGCAACAATTAGACATTCTTCATGCCAATATAGCAAATTCAATATCTAGCTTTATTTGGTTAGATATGATGTTGTGCTCTTTGGTGACCTTTGAGGTCAACTTTATATAGCCTATATTATTACTTCAGGTATTGTGGTTATCCATACAAAAAAAAAAGGAGGAGCAGCTTGAGACTTTCCTTCTGGCTGTGATGTGGGAACATATATACACTTTCACATAATATAAATGTGAGATTATTAAAAACAAAAAAAAACTAATTTATATTACCTGAGCTGTTGCATCTTGCATAGCTACTCTATCTGGTCGAAGCTTCAGATAACTCTCACCACGAACAATATCCTGTAATTAGGTAAGTGTAAAGAAGAAAAAAATATTTACTTTCTAATCAATAGCAGCTGAAGTCTATAGTTATGTAGAGCTTATCCCATGAAAATTTAAAACCATTTGCATCCACTATTTTAAGCAGTTTTGAATAATTTAGCTTTATTTCTTTTTAAAAGGAAGTAGTTCATTTAATTAACAAATACACAGACTTATAGATTTAGTAGAATAACGTAGAAATAATAGCAACCAACAGTTAATGAACATTGTTTTTACACTCAACAAACATAAGATCAACAAGCAAAAGGGCTGCCTGGAGAGGTCAGTAGTTGAGACTGAGAAAGCAAGTCAAGAAAAGGATTGAAAAGGAGTAGTTAAAAAAAACACAATAATTAACAGAAACAGTTTATGGTAGTAAACTAAATTAAAAACTAGAAAATGCATTAATTTAAACATTTGATTAAAACGCAGAGAATCCTATATAAAAAGTGTGGTAAAGTTTGACAAATTTGTCAGCCAAAAACATTGTGTAAAAAGAACAGTTTTTTTTCTTAACACCATTATTATTGTATATCCTCTCAGCAATTTTTCTCATCTTAGCAAATTTATGTAACCAGACCAAAAGAAAGAAATGCTCAGAAAATACATTTTTAAAGAATTTATAATTAGTTTCTAATCATTATTTAATTTTTCTTGATCTCTTATTTACTGATATTTTTATAAATTTATCAATAAAAATGTTTTCATTTTTATTTCTTTATAATATGGTAAATAATTAATATTGCATTATAGTTGATTCACATTTTTATAATCTTGTAAATATAAAATTATTCTTGTAAATAAACAATCTAATAAATGAATAGTGTTTAATTCTTTTGTTGTTAATTCTCACAAAAAAAGAAAATACATAAATCCAGTTTCATGTTTGGGTTTCATTAAAATTTTAAAGATAGCTTTTTAAAAAAATAAAAATTCCTGGGGGAGAGAGGAGTATACAGTAATTGCTGGGCCAAGAAAAAAAAAACATCTTTTTGAAACACTGCTTTTTTTTGTGTATATATTTTTACATTTAGCCAAAAAGGTCATTGACTTAATGTTTCAATTTGGAAATTCAAATAAACATTAATTATTATGGCCCAATATAATTCTATTTCCATGATAGATTATTCAAATAAATGGTATGTTGTCCAAAAAGGTTGAGAAAAGTATACAAAAAACACTTTCTTAAAGTAAATTTAAAATAAAGAATATACAAAAACAAAAATATTCCCAAAAAACTTCTCATCATTTTAAAATTTTCTAAAAAACCAAGTTTTTTTTAAAACCTTGTTTACTAATATTTTATTCTGTTTAAAAACAAAACAAAAGCATAATCATGGAAAAAAGCAAGTACCTGATTTTTAGGATTATCCAGATGTCCATACACAACCTTTTCAGAGAGGGTCAGAGGGCGATTTAATCTAAGATGAAAGAATGTATCCATTTTAGAGAGCAAAATAATAATTAAAAAAAAGAAATTCAATAAGCTATACAAAATAAATGCAATATTCTTAAAATTGATAAATATTTTCATTTCTTTTTCTGTATAAAAATCACAAGATTATGAAAATCATTAATAAAATTCTAGGAAAATGTCATGAAAGTTTCAATTTAAAAATAGTAACATTTAAAAATGGATTCCACTTAGTGTTGTTTTAACAAAACAGAGTGAATAATATAAAAAATATTTTTAAATCCTGGTGAATATATGCCATAGCATTTAAAAATTATGTTTAAATTTATTATTGTTCTTAAAAAGTTGCATTTTATTTAGCAAAACAGCTACAATTATGTTAAATCTAGAAAGCTCCATTATTTGCTTTTCAACAATAATCCTTACTGCAATGAAAAGAGGATCAATTTTCAATCTTTTTATAGATATACAAATCAATATTTCCATTATTCAACTGTGCCATGCTAAAATGATGGAAATATTTCAGGTTTTGATCATTTATAAATACTATGTGATTGTAAAACTGATATGAATTAAACTGGGATTAAAAATAATTTAATACAAATTTTATTTGTCAAGCTTAAAATAAGAGAAAAATCCATTTCCATTATAGTCATCAGAATAGCCCAATATAGTGACAGACAATTTGCTTATCTCTACATAGATGTTTCTTCTGGTTATGCAAAAATGTTTTACATTTACAGTAACATAATTTAAAATTTGCTATATTTATGGAGGAAGAATGTTCCATATTGGAATAAAGCATTTGTAGATAAAAACCAGTAAGATAGAAATCCATACTGTCAGTTTCATGCCTTAAGTGATCATCAGTCATTTATGATCTGATGATCACTTAATATAAAACTGCTAGTCACATTGAGTGTTGATTTCTATACCCACACTATTTATATATATATATATATATATATATGATAAAGTTAATTGATAAACCGTATGGATAAATACAGGTAGGATATAAATCCCAAGAGCTCAATGTAGTAAACAGAGCAAGTAATAATTGACAAGCCATTTTCAGAAAGCCATGGTAATATTTTATATTTTGTGAGACCGATAAAATTCAGTTCCGCTTCGTCAAACCTTGTGGTTTCAAAACAATGAGTGGATTCAAAAATTCTTTCAGAAAAACAAGATTAGTGGAAGTTGTGTTTTAAGGTAATAACAGAGTAGGGAGGGGAGGAAGAAGGTATATGTCTCTAGGAGATACAATGGCTGTGGTGTTGACCTCTCGTTCAGTTCACCGGGACAAGAGAAAGAAATAAAGAAATCGGGAGAAGCAGGAAACAGAAGAGAGGAAGGGAGAAATCAGAGATCTCACACAAATCCCCATACCTACATACATACACATTTTTCTATATACACATATAATTACTTACACATGTGTCTACATCCATATGTATGTATACACATATACACCCATATTCATTGATTTATTTATTTGTATTCATAAACACTTATGCACATATTTGAGTAGTACATTTCTAAATCAGTACTTAGATAACATGTAAGATGTCCTCAAATGCATTACTAATCATGTGGCTATAAAGGGGCACTTAAATGTGTTTTCATCAAGTGACCCCAGGTATATACACACACCGGTTAACCTATGCCTCTACTTATGAGAGAATACAAAATACAACACATGAGTACTCATGTACCTATTTACACAGATGGGGGTACACATGTTTCCATGTACAAAAACTATGTCCCAACACAGATACAAAAGCAAAGTACCATAGTATGCTTGTGCATACACATACATGAAGGAGAGAGATATGTGAGCATTAGATGCCCAGGTGAGAGGGTTTTTGTAAAGTGAGGAGGATTTCCATAAAGGATCATAGGTGGTGATTCTGCATACACACACGTGTGTGTGTGTGTGTATATATATATATATATATATATATATATATATGCATTTCCTCAGACATGCATATACTCATATATCCACATACATATACACAAATACATGTAAAGCATCTGAAACCAAAGTGTGGGTTAATCTTCTTGAAAATTGATGTTACTTTATAAATCTGATGTGGTTCTTATGTTTGCATTTGAAGACAAGATCATTTTGTCGATTAAGTAGTTCGTTGGTGTTTTCATATTAGATTATAAGGATTTTTTCCTTGATGCATTGATCACATCTGTCGCTGAAATTATCAGGAGTTCAGGCCTTACATATGATCCTCCATTTTAATTGTGGGGTGAAGCCTCCATCAATGTGGTCCCAATAGTGTTTTGATACGGCCGTCTGCTGTCTTTGAGATTCATTATTGAAGGAATGGCGGGACTGTAGAAACCTGGTTTCCAATTTCCCACTGAAATTCCAATGTTATTTTTTTTTCTGGTTTACATTTTCCTTTGGAAAACTCATAGCTTCATATACCACATTTTCCGAAGTGAAAATCCATCCCACTGGACAAACAGCTCCAATTCTACAGTTACAGGGAGGTTTCTTCCCCTGTACCTAACTGTCGTGAAATTTTCTTAAGATATGGTTGTTGTGGGAATTGATCATATTTTCTACATTGCCAACACATGAGTAACTGATTTTTAAGGTTTTTCTGTTGAATATTTTCTTCAAAGTATTGTTATTATTAATAAAATGTCTGGCCTGTTAACTTTAAAAAATGTTTGTCAATATTTATGCTGGATAACCTTTTTCTATTTTTAAATTTGCTAGGTGTATCATTTCTCAGATTTTGTTGGTAATTTAACTCTTGTGAACAATTACTTTTTCAAGGGCGTGATTATATGTGTTTTTATTTTCATTAAAAAATTTTTGTTAGATGATAACATTGATTCTGGTATTGACAATGTTAGGAATCTTATTTAAAATTGATTTTGGGGGTTAGAGTGCACGTATATATATATATATATATATATATATATATATATATGGGGGGGGGTTGAATTTGTTTATGAAAGGGTTTGAAAGCGTCACTGGAAAGACTGAAGGTAATGCCTAGGAAGTTAACTATTTTGAGGTTGGAAGATATATCCATCTAAATCCCATTCTGCATTCACCACCATTCATTCAATAATGAATCTCATAGATAGTAGACAGCCATATCAAAACACATTGTTGGTGGCTTCACCCCACAATTTCTGGGACAGATGTGATCTATGCATCAAGGAAAAAATCCTAATAATCGAATATGAAAACACCAATGAACTACTTAATCGATGAAACAAACTTGTCTTCATATGCAGACATAAGGACCGCTTCAGATTTATAAAGTAACATCAATTTTCAAGAAGATTAGCCCACACTTAGGTTTCAGATGCTTTACATGTATTTGTGCATGCGTGTATATGGATAGGTATATGCCTATCTGCATGTCTGAGGAAATGCATGCATGCATATATATATATATATATATATATATATATATATTATAATATATATATTATATAATATAATATACCGAACGCTCCTTCTTGGCCAAATCGATAAAAGCACGTCAAGCTAAATGACGGTTTTGTATAGGATACAGGTTCGAATCTTGTCGGAGGACAAATATTTTCTGTGAAAATTTCTCGGACATTCAGGCCGGTAAATGTTGTTTAATACTGTTTATTATAAACAGAGCATTGACTTAAATATTTGAAACTATAAAAAGAATGTGAAACATAAAAATGTCTTAAAACACATTATATATATATATATATATATATATATATATATATATATATATATATGTGTGTGTGTGTTCTTTGGTTTGTTGATAGTTTTCCTGTTGTACTTTTTTATTATTTGGGAAATCTATCAACAAGCCACCTGAACAAATTAAACCCATGTGTAACTGCAGAATAAAGAATGAATGTCCCTTAAACGATAATTGCTTACAAAACAACATAATATACCAAGCCATGGTAAAATCGGCAGATAATGAAGAAAAAATATACACAAGAGTAAGTGAAGGGCCCTGGAAACAAAGAAACTATGCACATAAAACATCTTTCACAAATAGTAAATACGCAAACAGCACAATGTTTTCTAAGTATATCTAGGGAATTAAAAACAAAACGCAAATCACACCAAAAATATCATGGAAAGTAAGGAAAAGATCCTCAGCCTAGAGCAATCAATCCAAAACTTGCAAAAATAGCTATTATTACCTTTCCAGACCAAAACAAACTACTAAATAAATGATCTGAACTCCTCTCAAAATGCAGAATACAAATTTTTACTATGCTATGTAGAAATCAAAAACTGAAAAGAATAAATAAAAATAAAAACAAAAAGCAAAACAAAAAGTAAGTAAAATAAATTAACCCAAGCAAATAATAAACAAATTAACCACTCCCGTTAGAATAGATGAAAAAGAATAAATAAAATAATTAATCCAAATAAATAAAGTAAATAATAAACAAATTAACAAACAACTCCCGCCAAAACCATTAGAATAGACAACAATCGAAAAATTGGATGAAAAAATAACTATAACTGCTAAATACACGATCAAAATTTTTACTACGTTACTTAAAAATTGAAAACCAAAAAAAATAAATAAAAATGAGAAAAAACAAGTAAAAAAAATTAATCCAAATAAATAAACAAATTAACAAATCACTCACACTAAAATAACCATTAGAATAAATAAAAAAAATAAATAAATAAGCAAAAAAACAAGTAATAATAATCAATTCCAAATAAAATAAACAAATTAAAAAAACTACCCCTGCCAAAATAAGTTAGAATAGACTACAGCAATCAGTCCGAAAATTGGACAAAAAGTAGCTTTAATTACCTTCCCAGTCCAAAGCAAACTATTAAATAAACGATCTGAACTAATCTCAAAATTTTTTTACTATATTATTCTAAATTCAAAAACCGAAAAGAATAAAATAAATAAATATATAAAAATAAAAAACAAGTAAAATAAATTAATCCAAATAAACAAACCACTCCCACCAAAATAATCGTCAGAATGGACTACCTACAATGCACCATTGACCCGTATATATAAAAATTTGAGAAAAAAAACAACACATGTGGCTTGACGATTGTGTCTAGCATGAAAGTCTGTTGCCTCTTAGTGTTGACTTCAATGTTCATGTTTATATTTACATATGCTCTATCTCTGATATTGAGCACTTTATCCCATAAATATAGCACACTTAAAATTGTGTGTGTGTGAGACAGTATGTATACTTCTAATCTTTTTTTATATCAAATGTTTAATAAAAAGAAAATTTATTGCATGAATAAAATTAAGTAAATTCTTTTCAATTACAAACACTGCATAGAGGAATATTTCACTTGAAATTATATTAAAAGCAAAAGATGGAAATTGATAGATATAAAAAGAATATTCAATACAATAATCATATAAAATCTATCAGACAAATTATTCCATATATGCATGCAAATAAAGTTACTATTTAAGAAAAACCAAAACATTACAAAATCACTAAAAAAATAAAATATTTGTGATATAAACAAACAACAACAAATTATACAAACAATTACCAAACAATTCTCATATGAATGGGATCTAAACAATGGAAAATTACTATTAAAGGCATCAGGTAATGATACATTATATCATGAGAAGGAAAATACTATGAAAAGCAAGTGAGAAGAAAAATGTTACTAATATATATATATATATATATATATATATATATATATATATATATATATATATATATATATAGGTACCTCAAACATTCACTAAAATATAACCATACATGATGAAAAAATGACCCAAACTTAAAAACAATGTTTTATCATCAAAATCAAAAGACTTTTTATTATTAGATTTTATTTTATAATCCTCTTTAGAACCTTTGAAATTATATATATATATATATATATATATATATATTTGTGTCAGTGGGTGACCATAAATTCATATAGGAAATTTCAGTGTCTTTTGCAAGGATTTGGAAATTCTTGCAAAAATCAAATAATTGTCAGATTTTAAACAAACCCTTCAGGACTTATTCACAAGTGAATGAAATTATTTTAGAAATATTTCATTTTTAGAAAACCTTGGTAAAAATATTTTTTATACATCTATTACCTTCCACTTATTTAATTTTATGAAATTTCAAGAAATTCATTTTTGTACAGTATGATGTTTATATTAGTTATAAGCACATGACCTTGGAGAATTTAAATCATTTTACTCCCTATCAAACACGAGCTTCAGTTACCAAAAATAATGCAATAAAACTAAGACATTATTTAATTAGAAGACCTGTTAATTGCTTTTATGAATAAGATATATTATGGTCACTATTATTTTAAGAAAAAAATTAATTTTTACAAGAACAAGAAGTTTTCATTTTGTAAATATTTTAATTAGAATAATTTATAAAGTTTTAAAACTTAAAATTCTGTATTAATTTGTAGTGGTTGGCTGATATTGTTATTAAGCAAAAGCTATATTTACTAATCATAAATGAAAAAGCTTGCTAAAATTCGACAACTCCCAATATTTTTTTAAAAAACTTTGAATTTTTGTTTGAATTTACTAATTTTTGTAAATGTAGACATCCATAGACAACATTATCAGAAAATAAGAACTGTAATTATGGTAAATTTAAAGCCAAAGTACCTAAAATTCAATAAAACAGATTACAGAAAATATTTTCCTAAATTTTTAAGATTACTGGGGAGTTAAAAATGATATAAAAAAAGACACATTATATTCAAATAATTTTTACAGATATGTTCCCCATAGAAAAATTTACAAAACCTAAGTCTATCAAAACAGTTGTCAACACATCATAAAAACAGCCACTGTCATGTTAAAAAAATGCTTTTCTGTGATAATTTACACTAAAAGTAATATTTGTTTCAAATCAAATTAATTAAAGTTTAAATCAAATAAAGTTTCAGAAAAGTATCTTATTTTTGAAAGATTTTTTTTAATGAAGAGAATTACAATGTGCAGAGAAAATTATAAATATGGCTCAAATCAGACACTTTTTCAGCAATTAAAAAAACAAAAACTCACTTCAATAAAGATTTTTTTATTTTTAAAAATTCATTTTTAAACTTTAGGTAAATTTTTCTTTGGGAGTACATAGATATACATGCATACATACACACACTCACCTATCCTTAACAATTTTTAAATTGTATTCCATTTTGTCATAATCTATATACTGGTTGGGTTCAAATTTGCTCATAGCCACCTGTACAAAAATAAAAATAAATAAAATAAACAAAATAAAGCAAAAATATAAAGTAGTAATACAAATTTTATATATATATATATATATATATATATATATACACACACACACATACATACATACATACCAGGTGTAACATCATAAAAAAAAATAAACACTAAACTAATTGAGATTCTTTATTTCTAGGTTTTCAGATAACATTTAGCCATCTTGACAACATTTGTTTAAGAATCACTGAAAAACCCAGCTAGAAAGAGAACAGGTTAAAATCATTTTGTGTCAGTCTACTGTCTTCCTAAATGAGCAATGGTAAGAAGAAAAAGATTATTTAGGCCTTCAGGAATGGTACCAACATTCATACTCTGGCTTCCATCTTCAAAGTCCATTCAAGAACCATCAAGAGAACAGTGAATAAGTTTAATAAAGAGGGAACAGTAGAGAGGAAAACTGGATCAGGAGGTAACAAGAAGGGGGATCATCATTTCATCTTAGAGCTAAAGAGATCAATTAGAAAAAATCCAACTCAATCCATAAGATATTTGGCATGTGACAGAGGTGTTTCAGCTAAAAGAGCAGTGGAAAAAAAAACTTGAAAATGAAATTGTACATGAAACCTGTGAGGCACATTGTTACTCCAGGACAGAAAGTTAGGTTAGTGTTGTAACCTATGGAAGGTTAATGAATAGAATAATCACATGAAGGTTGATAATGAATTGTACATGAGAATGTTATCGCACATTGAGTATACTCCTGAATCCGCTTTAGTCCTGTCTTGAAGCTTTTTCTTCATTTCAATAATAAATTTATCTTCCAACGCTTTACTTTTTATATCTTCCAAAGTCACTGGTAGTTCCCGCACAGTATTGCATAGTACGTTTTTTTTATCTCTACTTCTGATTGTAGAAAAGCAATAATCTTGTCTTCCTTGGAATAAGTTTGGCCAACCCGTCTGCAAGACTTAATTTACACGATGGTAAGAATTCAATTTTAACATCATAATTTAGTAAAATAGTTCTTCATTGTTGTAACCTATTAGCCATATGAGTCAGTAATCCTTTTTTGGACCCATAAATAGCTATCAACGGTTTGTGATCTGTTTGTAAATGAATCTATGAAATTTTTTCAGAGAAAGACATTTGTTTCAATTACTTGCTGAAAAATTGCTGGAGCGAACATTATGCCGAAAGGCAAACAATTAAATTTGTACATCCCATGATGTGTATTTATGGTCAATAAACTTGAACATTCATCGTCTACTGGAATCTGAAGATACATGTCAATTAGGTCGATTTTGGAAAATATCAAACCCCCACTAAGCTGCGCACAAACCTCTTCTGGTCCCAGAATTGGGTAATGATAACTTTTGAGGGCATCGTTTGTGGAAAAATCTGCAGGAGACATGTATCTTTTGACTTTTCCTTTATATAAACAGTCGGTGAAGCCCAATCACTATATTCTACCTTCAATAAAACACTCATTTTTTTTGAGTCTATCAAGCTTGTCATCAGTTTGTTTTGGCAAAGCAAATGATACATTTCTTTGTTTTCTTTTAGCTTGAATTTAGCTTTCATTTTCTTGCAACTGATAATCCGCCAGAAAATATGTCTTTTAGACTTTCTGCTTTGTTAGTAAAACCTTTCACTTTTTGGCAGAATGAATTGATCAGACTGTTCCATAAATTGAACTGATCCATCCAATCTGTTCCAAACAGGTTATTCATGTTTTTCATGACAAAAAGTCTAACTTCAAGGTTTTATCTTTTAATGTTACATTTATCATAAATTCGCCTTTGTATTTTATTTTCTGTCCTGTAACACTCTGAGTGACTTTTTTGGTAATTATTAACGTTGGTTTACCCAATTTTCCCCATTTATAAACATTTATTATACTCAAATTAGAACCAGTCGAGTTGCAGTCTTGTTTTCGTTCAAGATTTTTACCTGCACAGATCTTCTTATAGGAGATTTATCCACATTAGTAATTTTAATGTAATTACTCACTCACATTTCTTAAATTTTGTCTTAAAGTGGGGGTTTTTTATGTCCTTTTTTCCCCCCACACTGAAAACATTGTTCTTTTTGTAAGGACAATCTTTGTACCAATGTAATTTTCCACAAGTGTAACAGGAGTTAGGAGTGATGTTTTTTTTCTTCTTCGCTGTATGTTTCTGACACACTTTTTCAATGTGTGACACAATGTTTATCTCAATATCTTTGGCATCTCAACGAACATTTATAAATTTCTGACAATCTTCTAAGTCTTGCAATGTTAAACTGGGTTCGTTTTCCAATTTATTTAAAATCCTTCTTCGGATTTCAGCATCTTTTGTTGACACCAATCCTTGCACAAATATCAAGCATTTAAAATTGTCAGGGCTTAATTCTGCCAATTTGAACTTTTCATAATTTTTATTCACAATACTTGTGAATGTTTGGAAGTTGTAATCTTTGTTTTTCACTAAATTCATACATTTCCATCTTTGATGGAACAAGGACGTTTTTGTGCTGAAAACTTCTGAAAGCAAAGTAACTGTTAGTCTTCTTTGGTAATATATAGTTTACAAACTTAGTGTGTTTGATAACACATAGTTTCCTTAGCAAAAGTCTGAACTTTTTATCATTGGACCAGTTTGCACAGTCTTCAGAATATCCATTCTTATTATTCATGAAAATTTTCTGTTGTTCTACCAACATTTCCATGGGTTTTTCGAATTTTAGTTTGTACTGTTTTTGCTGTTCGTCTTGCCATTTGACCATTTCAAGTAGTATCATTTTAAAGTCTTCCATTTTGTTTTCTTTCCCAATGAAGCCTTGGTGAATTTTAACGTGCAATATCTTTTTTCACCAAAGTTGTGCTGGTGAACATTTTATTTGCTGCCAAATCCTTGACATCAAAATGTCAGACTAGTGATATTTTCTGATTTGGGTAAATCCTTGTTACTGAAATGCTGTATTTTGGCCAATCTTTGTCAAAATGTTGTATTTTGGCTAATCCTCATCGCCAAAATGTTGTAACCTAGGGAAGGTCACTGAATAGAATAATCACACAAAGGTTGATAATGAATGACAATACATAAGACAAGAACAGCACATATAAGATTCGCCAGCAGTGCGTAGTAGTAGACAAATGCTAGAAGTGAGTCAAGTGAATTCCACAATGAATCTCCAACTGCAGACCAATACATACAGTATTCACTACTATCTTTATGTGAATGGGGACATACCCATTATCATCCATAGGTATTCTACAACAGTTAGAAAGGGCAAAGATGATCTTGAATAAGCTAGAAAATGATCCTGGAATATAACTTTTGAACTTTATTTCAATTCTTCCAGCGCTTCTGACCCTTAGCTATGATTAATTAATGAACATGTCATTTCCGTTTATGATCAATGTCATGAGGTACCTCTGTTAATCTCGGAGAGTAATTATACATTCTTATTGCTCAAAGTAGAGTCTAACTGCGTTATATAAACCTTGGAGAATTCCAGTAAGATATCTGTTCTAACGAATAGACAATTTTGCTGTTACATGATTTGAACAATTTTGCTGTTTATATATAAAACACACTAGCATAATGTTATCAGTCTTTGTTATTATGGTGCTAGATATCAAGAGTAAGTAAAAAATACATTTTTTCATTTAACTTTTGTTCATTTTATTTTAAAGATGTTGCAAACTACAATAAATTTTTAAATTGTATTTTTGACATTTTTACTTGATAGGTAGCTTAAAAAAAAAAAAAAAATACCAAGTCTCCTTGGACATTTTTACTTGATGTTCAAAAATCTTATCTCATCTGTTGGAATATTTCTGAATAAATTATGTTTAAAAGAAGTGTCTCATAAAAGAATTAAATGATCTCAACAAAATGGAAAACTTTCAACACAGTTTTTATTCATCAATGTAGCACTAGAAAAGATTTTTGAACATCAAATTAAAATGTCAAAAATACAATTATAAATTCACATTACTTGATACAGGGGACTGCAAAAGTAAGTATACAGAAGTATTATACTAATATTATAAAAGCGGTTCTAGGATTCATTTAATACTAGATTTAATTCATTAAAATCATTTTCAATATTTTTATTACAATTTTTATTTTGCAATAAATAATAAGAAGAAATGATTAGCAGGTAAGTGTATGAATGCTGGGGTAAACAGTTTGAACATATGTTATTATTGATAAATTTGTATAATCAATACAATGTTTTGTTCTTCATTACTGTATAGCAACTTTTGTTTTGCACCTCCCTGTGTGTGTATATATATATATATATATATATATATATACACACACACACACACACATTAAAAAGATTAAAATGTAAAACTTATTACTCAATTTTACTAATTTTTTTCTCAAATATCTAAAATTCATTCTCATCAAGTGATTATGCTACTGAAATCATAACATATTTTATGCAATTAACTCCAAACTCCAAGTACAATTAAAAAAAATAAAGTTAAATATATTTATCATAACCAAATTATTGAATTAAAAACAGTTTGTATGTATTTAAGAAAAAACGGAACATTTATTTTCTCATGGTAAAATATCTAATAAGACCATAAGAATTAGGTAGGATGACAGTGCCATAGTGCAAAACCAATCTATGTTTATCCTAAGATAAATTTTAGCAATTGTACATGTAAAAAATTGTTTTGTGTATCAAACTCAATTTTTATATACTTATTTCAGATTTGAAAATTGCCATGAAACAAAGAGTTATAAAAAAAAAAAAAAAAAGTAAAGTTGATTTACCTTCTGAGCTGCAGCTGCAGTCATATGTAGCTGCCGGAGGTGTTGGCCAACCATTGTAGGATTGGCAAGCCTCTGTAAGAAGAAAAAAAGGAAAAATATAAAATATCAATAATTAAAACAATTGTTCCGCTATGGTATCTAGATTTTATGAATTTAAGTGCAGTACTAGATTGGTAGAAAGTCTCATATTACAGTAGAAATGTCTAGATATAACCGTAAATTCTATGCTAACAGTTTCTTCTATCACACTTCTCACTTGTGGAACTCTCTTCCAGTTTCTTGATACAGTCAACTTTGATCTTCAAAAATTTAAATGCAATGTCAATCATTATTTTCTATGTTCTTAATTCTTGTTCTTTTATGGTACTCCCTCCTTAACAGTAGTGTTTCTCATATTTTTTAACAATCAGTAACCTCTTGTGTACTATTGCCTTGCTTGTGCTGAACTGACTAAAAAAAAAATAAAAAATTACACATACAATTAATTTGAAGTCAAAGAATGGGTAAATAATCATTCAAAGAACAGGTATTAATTTAATTTTCAATTATAATGCAAATGGTATGTTAAAATGTAATCCAAATAAAATCAGCAATGTGAATAATTCCAAATATTTATAACTGCAGAAAACAGAAAATTAGTGAAAAATGATAGTTTTTATGTAGAATAATTTCAAAAGTCCCATTATACAACAACAAAAAATAGCTATGTTGCCCCAAACAGATTACAAACTTATATTAGTAAATAATAGTTTCTTAAAAATCAATAACAATTATTAGTAAGTTAATGTGAATTACTGTTAAGAAAAGAATTCAATGAAAAAAAAAAATCTCAATTAGTCTACTTAAAAAAAAAATCTATGTGCTTTACATACACAAGTTTTATAATCTTATCAAACTTATCCTGTGTACACTTTTCATATTAAAAAAAATCAATAAATGAATATCCTGAACGTAAGTAATTATCTCTCAGTTTCAAGTAATTTATACTTAATAATTGATCAAAATAGATATCAAATCTAATAGGCAAAATATAAGTTAAGGACTAAAATAGCAGACAGAATCTGTGCACAATGACAAAAACTTCTGAGTAACTGCAGTCTTTGACATTCTGTTAAGACATCAAGCTATTTCAAAATAAAATGCTCATTGATTAAAAATAGCACCTTAAATAAGGAATACCTTGAATGCACCATTCATCACAGAGTATTTGGAAGAGAGAATAGACTAAAACTTAACATTTCATAACTTATAGTTTAAGAGCAAATATATGCAAGAAAAAATATAAGTGCAATCAAGGTATTTTAATAACAACACTTTAGAAATAATTGTTTGAGAGACAAACAAATGTGTTATATAGAGATAAATAATAAAGCTGATAGGTAGCTTAAAAAAAAAATATACCAAGTCTCCTCAGGATGTAGGTAGTCATGGATCACCACAAATTCCTTTTCTTTAATATATATGAACTACCATGACTTCTTGCAAGTGCTTTCCTGTTGCCTTTTCCACAATTTTGATTTCAGAATAGTCTTTTTCCTAGATTGGCTGCCACTCAAGCCTATAGAGTCTGATCTACCATGTTATTTAATCCATAGCAGATTGGTGGAAAAAAAAAGATATCAATGTGAAGTAACTGCAACAGATTAGACCAGAAATTGAACTTGGCTTGCGATTTTCACCATCTATACCAATAACCATCATGCTACCAGCACATAAGAAGCATATTCAGATGTATTTAATTCCTAACTTTCAAATACACATTATATCAATAAAAGCATTTTTAATACAATCCAGAAATTTCTAGAAATTTAAGAAACACCTATATTGCTTTATCTTAGGTAACATGTAGTATGGAAAAATAAGTTATTTTAATGATTGAGTGATTCCTCCCAGAAATTAAGCAAAACCTTGGTCAATTATAACAAATTGTTCATTCAATAACTGTTATATTCTGTGCTAATAGGAATATATACTTGACAAACACAGTGGATAAATAAGTAAAGGTTTATTGTAATAACCAGTACAATAAGAAATAAGGTACAGTTATATGCACGGTTGTCGCAAGTCAATCCAATAGTGGGTGCTACTATTGGAAGGTCGGTAGTTCTCATGCAAGTCTGAGTCATACTCAGCAGATCCCAGCTAGACTCCCGTATTACATCAATAACAAAGAGGAAAGTGGTGAAATAATGTTTCACAAGTTTTTATCACTGTTCATCATTTATAAAGACATACAATTTAACTTATTTAGGTAGAGATATAAATAGGATTTTTTTCCTTTTTTTTCAAAACCATTTCTTCAGATAACAAATAAACCTGCAAACTGAGGTGCAGCACTATTTTGGACATGACATTATTGAAGAGAAGGAAGTAACCAAACAAAACTATAATGACTAGGATACAAGATACTTATATTTAATATTGCAAGTTCAGATTGAAATCAGTCAAGCAACTTTTAATTTCCAATGATTTTCCTTATATCCACTTATCACTAATATCTTTGGGCAAAGTATGAATGTATATCCCTGCATTCTGTCCTATCAGAGAAAAATGGTATAGCATGCCAAGATGTGTGACAGGAAAGAGAGTTAGAAAATGAATACTTCTGTAAACCACACTCCCATAATTACCACTTAAGCAATAACTGTGAAATGTTACAACCAGTATATATATCCCAAGTATATTAGTATAACAACAATGTCATGTTAACCTAAATAAAAGATGACCCAATACTATGCCAGTTATAAAGAGTAAGACAGAATATATAATCTTGTAGAAATACAATATGTAATTGTTATCTACTTGAAAACTTATCTAAGTAATAAGACTTTACTAAACCTTTATTTTTTTCTAGCACTGTCAAACTGATGCTTTTCATCTCACTTGAAGTCCACCTCTACTAGCTGATTTATCATAATTCTACAGCAAGTACTTTTGCTAATGTCTCCATCTTGGGTTCATTTTAAGGATATTGTCTTGATTAATCCTGTGCCTATAATCATGCCAATTATACTTTTGGAAGAGCAAGTTCACTTTATGAAAAAAATAAAAAAAAAAAACAAAAAAAAAAAAAACCTCCATTCAAGCATATCCAACAAACAGAAATATTGTTTTTATGTGTTCATTATAAAACTAATGAATAGATAAAGGCCATTTACATAAACCCAGTCTTTCATTACTGGTGTTTGCTGAATATTTGTCAAACTACTAAACAATGACCTTGTGAAACTAAACAAAAGGCCCACTATTTGTTCAGTAATAAGATCTTAACAGTCATATACTTTTTTAGTTAGTTTCTATCCTATCAATTTGAAAGATTTATTTTCAAGCTAATTATATACACATAATATTTCGCTGCTTATAAGACGCATTTTTCTATTCCTCTAAAATATCTCCAAAAACCACCCCGTGTCCTATAAATCAAAAGTCAGTGACAAGAGTTATAAGTTTGGGGTATAGGATAAGTATCAGCTCCCCAGTTACATCCAATTTTGAGCACTTGAAAGTAAAGCAAGTTCAGTGTTTCAAAATTAAATTAACAATATTTTGAGAAGCTATTTATGCAGTTGAGATACTGGAACATTGACAGGAAATGGAATTCCTGCTTAAGTAACACCTAATAAGGTTAAGTTTCAGTTGGATTATGCACTCTCCACTTTTTATTACATTCTCAATAATTACCATAAATTTGGTACTTCTTAGCCTGTGATGAATTTTTCATGACTAATCAGATTATTATACTGAAATATGCTATTCAGTGGGTAAAGGTGGGAATGGTGGAGAGAGCTATGAACTTTAACTATTTCTTCCTTCAAAATTGGGGAGGGGCTATCTAATGCATTGAGCAACTTATAAGCAGTGAAATATGGTATATTATATATATATATATATATATATATATATATATATATATATATAAGTTCACAAGTATATTTTATTGTATCCCTATGAGATTACTCTTCTTTTGTGTATCATCCCTTCAGAATGTGAGCGATCATGGATCTCCACAACTTCCTATCCCTTGTAACAGTAAGCAATGGTTGTCCTCTTACTATCCTCCATCCTGTTCATGTTTAGCCATCCATTTACACAAGCTACTCACTGCTTCTCTCTACTCCACTTGCCTTCAGTGTGTCCTGTGAGTCAAATTCACTAAATCCTCTTTCCTCATAATGTCTCCCAGATATTGCAACTATCTTTTATGAGCAGTATTTACAAAAATGTGGCTGTTATCAACAAAATATATTACATCAGCTGATACACTAAAAACAAACTGTATCTGGAAACCATGTGAGTGAAAGAATTAACATTTTAACCAATTCCAAACATCTAGCAGGACACTTTGATAATGATTATTCAAATATGAAGCATTAAAACATAAATGAATCAAAATTTCAAAATTTAAAAAAAATTTAGATTAAGAAAATAAGACTAAAACAAAATACATTGCACAGAAATGCTTGAACAATAGCAAATTTGTAAGCATGCTTTTAATAATTTTTTAATTTATATATATAAAAAAAAAAAAAAGAAAAAAGAAAAAGAGGAGCTTTGTGGCATTCATTAAATATGAAAAGGCAATTAATATTTTTTTTTATTCTTCATTAAAATAATGATTTTAATAATATATTACAGTGCAGTTTATAATACTATCTATTTTTTAATCAAACCTTGAAATATGATATAATAATAATATGCAATATATACATGGCATACTAGGCCTGTAATGAAAAACAAATAAAGTAGGAGCTTTACTTGAAGATTTATTCAACTATTAGCTCAACTCTGGGAAGAAACAGGGTGGAGCTTATTCTTTTATAACTGGCCCAAGGGGAAACAACTATGGTTGATTTCCACCACAAGGCCTTTGAAGAGGCTATTATTATATGAGGCAGTAATGAAACATTCTTCTTGGTCCAACCAACTTTCCAAAATCTGACCAAACATGAAAATATTTTTTAGTTTTGTTGAGAACATTTCAATGTAGAGATGAGCGGTTTAACTGAAAAACCAACTTTTTTCAATTTCATCCTTACACCATGAAACCGTATAAAATTTTTTTTTTGAAACTG